GTTGATCTTTCCATCCATTCCTCCTCCTCCTGTCAGCCCTTTGTCAGGACATCCATCCGCACATTTTTCCCTTCCTTCCTTTCTTCAAACACTCAATCAATCATCTCAATCTGACTTCTGTAAAATTATCTTCTATAAAGTATAAATATATATATATTTTTAAAAGTAATGTTTTCTAACTTCTATGTATTTAATATCACATATTAGATTAGGTTGTTTCTGATGTTGACAGTTTTTTTCTTTTGAAACACGTTTGTTTGTGTTCTCCTTTGAATAATGAAGAGAAAACCGAGCCAAAGCATCCAATAAATTCAAAGTGTGTCAAACTGAATACTCTACTGTCACATCTCCAAGGATTTTCAGTGCACCAGTCTCTTATGTAAGATGGAACATTGAGAGAAATATTCAGTTCGTGCAATTGTGTAAACGGCCTAATCTGATCTTCTGGCGAAACTGGCGCAGGCAGAATGTGTCTCTGTGTGTAAAGACAGAGGCAGTAAAAGCTGCCTGTTTTTGCTCACAGCAGGGCTTCTGCCCAATGCCTGTTACAGCATTCATTTAAGAAGAAAAAAACATTTGATCTTTTTCTCCTCTGGCATCTCTTATGCCTGCCTGTAGTTTTATATGACAAGCATCTTGCCCTCCTTGATTTAATGAAAAAAATCAGTTAAATCAGTTGTGGTTTATGAGATGCAGCAGGCTTGGTTACACACACTTATGCACCAGCTCAAACAGCCTTGCCAGATTGAAGAGGCAGGGCTTAAATTACTCAGTCTGACCCTGGCAACCCTTGCATGGTGATGTAACTCTTGGCATAATAGTATCTCGTGTTTTAAGATGCATCAAGGTGCTGTTTTTCTTTTTTTTTAAAGTTTTTGATTGCTGTTCATGTATATTCAAACTTGAAATAAAAGGTACTAAAGTATAGATGCACTTCTAGACTATCTGATATGAGGATGTTAAGAAAGTGCTTACTGTGTCCTGCTTCTTCCAAACGCTGCTGTCACATCCTGTAAGTATGCCTACGCCATCTGTCCCTGCAGCACCGCCTCACTCCTGCTGGCCGCTGCTGCTGCGGCTGTTTTTCAGATGATCCCCTGAGCTGGCAGCAGAGAGATGGTTGAAGATAATTTATTTTTCAGTGTTTTGCTCTGAAGCTTGGTGGGCATCAGGACTTGTCCTGAGTTGGAAACATACAGAGATCTCAGTAAATTTGAGTGTTATGTAACATTCTTTGAGCAATGCCAGCCAAAAATGTTGATGACATATCTACTATAGATTTATTAGTCATTTTATTGAATTGTATAATTGTGTTGTTGTTAGATTTGCTTAATGCATAGAGCCCAGAACTCAGAACCATGTCATCTGCTGGTTTTGTCAGCTCTGTTTTATCATTTACAAAGTAAAGGCAGGTGTTAAAAAAACTAAAAAAATGATGGCACTTCATGCTGTCCTTTTGCCAGATATGCAAAATGCAGAACTTGGATTCACTTCACTCCCCAAAAATACCAGCACCAGGTTTAATGACCATCCATGTGATTAATGAATAACAGGCTCCTCTTAGCTAAACCCCACAGACATCTTTGCATGAAAGATGAAAGATTAGCGATACCAGAAGCAACATGTCAGATGAGCCGAAGTCTGTTGCTAAAGCTCTTTGACACCTTAGTAGAGCCACAAACTGATTGCCTCCATCGTACACGTCGTTCCGGCAGTAATTCATGCAAAAGGAGCCCAGCCAAAGTAATCGGTTAATACACTGTACAGTGCATGAGCATCTTCTTAGGAAGCCTTATGGTTTGGAATCTAAATGGTGAGCATTCCTTTGCTTTAAACCATCATCCTCTAATTTACACAAATTATTTTGTTTCTTTTTTGCATTAAATTTGTGAAATAAACTAGCCGGTAATGTTCTAACTTATTTAGATGCACCTTTTTTCCTACTCTTATTAAAATATGTCTCAGGGTTTGAAGAACCTTTGTTGGCGAACCCAACAAAAGATTGTCGATGACTTTTTTGGCCCCTGTTTTACGCCTCAGATTTAATTTGGGACTAGGACTAGGGCTGGGCAATATGGTCTTATAATCTGATAGCAATATTTTTAATACGATTGTGATTATGATAGAATTGACAATAAATGCACTTTTTTATTGATTCATTTGAGTCAGTCTTGGTAACTGTATAGCTCTAAATCATGCCACAGTAACCACAGCTCAACAAGCACTAACACTATTCCTAAAAAAAATATATATATATGTTTAAAATGGGAATATTTGAGACATGCGTTACATAAAGAAGTGTGATTTATACCACTGAACATCCAGAAGTAACTGCATTTAATTATAATCTCCATGCCCTACACTGAAAGAAACACTGAAAGAAGAAAAATATAAAAGATAAAATTCACAATTCACCCATTTTTTTTATCATCACTAATTTTAAATTATTGTTTAGACATCAAATCAAAATTGTGATGACGACTAGAAAATTATCAGCATAATAATTATAGATGCCCAGCACTGTAAAGGACCTTTCTCAGATCAAATTTACAAATTTTTTAAAGAACAGCGTATAAACCTAAAAATTTTGTAAGATTAAAGGATTATCCATCCAGACTTTAGTCCGTTACTAATCCAACCGTGTCTTTGTCCATTATCTAAACTGCGGTGCAGCCATTCCCCCTCCATGCTGGCATGAAAAGCAGCTATTCAGACCTTAAAAGTTGTCCAATAAAGAACAAACAAATCAAGAAATTCAGGTTTAAGAAATTATGACTAGGGCTGTAACTAAAGATTCTTTTGGAAATCGAATAATCTGTTGATTCTTTTTAGGGTTAATCGATTTCTAATCTGATCAAAATGTTCATTAAAGAAGATTCTTTGCTAAATTAAACCAGGTGGAACTAGACTTTTTCACTTGTGGAGTTCTGGATATAGCACATTGACAGATTAAAACTTTTTTTTTTTTTATCTTAAATGAAAAATGTTTATATTAATTTTTATTTTTTATTTTTTACAATTTTGATACCGGTATATGTATTTCGGTTGCCCCTGTCAGCTAAAGGCATATTTTACAGTCTCTATACTCCAGTTGGTGATTAATTGATTGCTAAGTTGAAGATTATTTCAATAATCGATTAATCAGGATTAATCTGATTAATTGCTTGCCCTAATCATGACTCCTCCTTAGTTATTTACCCTTGTATGGTAATAGTCCTACCAAGCTAAATATTTACTTTAAAGTCAGATGAGTCAGTCTGTCGTCTCATAGGGTACGATGACTGACGTTATGATTTTTTACAACTGTGTTTTCATCACCAACTGGTCCCTTTATAAAGGAAGCTGTGGAAGAAAAGCATGGCTGCTAAAAGCAGAGAAGTGTCCCTGTTGGGACAAACCGACTACTATCAGAAATAGATGGCTTTTCCTTGTCTAAATCTAAAAAAAAATAAATACCCAACAGGCTAAGATATTGTGTAAGCTTTGTGATATCTTGGTTTGAATGAATGTCTTCTTATTATAGCCTCATACTGAGTTTGTTTTGCCACACTCAGTGTGAGCGAATCAACAGCCGTGGTTATTTAGATTTCATGAGCCGTATTATCTCTGCCAAGGAATACATACGACATGCTCAGTTTATTTAATTATCGTCAGGGAAGCCCAAAAACTAAATACATGTTTGCATGTTCATATAGAGCTAGGATGGAAGAAGGAATCATGATAAACCTGGGTTTATTGCATTAACTGTAGATATATGAGCAAGTTTAGAAAAAAATAGTTTGAGAAAGTATTTTCTTGCAGCCATTCCCAAATTTTTGATGACAAAAAAAAAAAAAAAACTCAACAACTTCAAAGGGGCTGACAGAAAAGGAACTGCATGTCACATCTCAATTATACCCCAAATATGCAGGAATGAAAAGTTAATAGAGTCTTAAATTAACTTTAAGTATACAATATAAAAATACTTAAGTTAGATCTACTTTTTAGGAGCTATTAGTATTGCTAAACATTTTGACACCTGAGTTTTTGTAAACAAAGCACTGTTTTCTAATTTGATTTGTTTCTCCATTTAACAAGAGTTTTTAAATACTTTTTGTGTGTCAGACATACATTGATATTTGTTATCATTTTTATCTTCAAAATGGAGGAAGATAAAATATTGGCTTAAAGATTCAGTCCCAAAAAAAACATCAAGGATCAGTTGGATCGATTTTAAAATAATACATTTTTACACACCATGCCCTTTTAATTTCCTGGCCTACTATTGTTATGTTTCCGCTTTGAAAGCACAGAGAAAAATGTTTGTGATTCTGAGCACGTTTTTGTGGCTTTTAAGGGGAAACGATGGCCTTGTTTCAACTTTTAAGATAATTTTAATTGACTTTTTCTCCAAGTCAGCAGGCATAAAGCAGTTGCCAGATTTTTTGCTCCATACAGTACATAACAGAGTTTTAGTTTCATTTTCTTCTATGAATTGATTAATTCTCGTTTTAAATACTTAAATACTTATTAATCTTATGTTTCCTACTTCTTGCTGCTGGATTCAGGTTAAAAAACTGTGGTGAATCCAGTGCTGAGAAATGTCATGGCCTGCAGGCAGTTTCTCTACAAAACTGGAACATTCCCAATGCCGTAGGATTTCTCCTTTAGTCTGGGTGTTGCTCCAGGTTTGGGGAAGAATGGGCTCTGCAGAGAGCAAACTGAGGAAATGCAGCATATGGTGCTGGATGTATTTCATCTGTCCTATCTTAATGGATGGAGAGGTTCTGCTTTTCATCTGCTTATCGAGGAAATGATTCTTAGACCTACTGGCTGTAGATTCAGTTGGGATGAAGACCTATTTGTTCTTGCAGAGACACACTGTCGCTGAATTAGCATTTTATCAGCAGCCGCTGTAGAACAAACCTATTGGCTGACATTTACTGCACTTTTTTTTGCCATTTTTCTTCCATTCTTTCCCTGCGTGATGGTATTTTTTCTTCCCCTCTGTCTCTTTCAAGTCCACTCCTCTCCACCTGGCAGCAGGATACAACAGGGTGAGGATAGTTCAGTTGTTACTGCAGCATGGAGCTGACGTCCACGCCAAGGACAAGGGGTAAGCATGACAAAAGCTATTTAAATCAAGTTGTAGGCAAAGACAGAAAGCGCCTCTCATTGATGTTGTCCACAGTTGTTGAAAGAAGCACATTCTTCTTTTGGTTTTAAGACTTATTTCATTTTATAAGAAAAGAATTAAGATTTTTAATTTTTTTTATTTGTAAAAATATTTAAGAAAACAGATTAAATGAATTTTATTACACATCAGGAAACCTTAAAACCTTTCTCTTATAACCAAACAGTTCAAGGCTCTTATTTAGTCATGATCACCCCATACAGGTGGTAAACTTTATGCAGTCAGCAGCTCCAGCCCTGCAAACTTCATGTGGCCTCCAGATTACCTTAAAGAGCTGTGTGTAGAGAGTTTTATTGGATCACTCATAATGGCATAACAGCTGCATCTAAGTCTTATCAGCAAATGCAACGTGAAGCTACAAAAACGGTAAAATAAAGCTCTCCACCAGTGAACATGAGCAGTGGAGGGATTTGCTTAGGAGTGACGAATCATCGCACTCTGATGATCCACTAAACAACGCTATATTTGGCCACACCTGCCTTACTGTTCTATATCAGGTGTAAAGCTTGGTGCAGAGGAGATGGTTATGGTGTGGGTTTGACTTTGGGAATCCATAAGTTCATACTTTTAACTTTTTGCGAACATTTAGGGAACCGTTCCTTTCTGTCTCATCATGACGGCCCCAATTAAACAATGTGGTGACGTACATCATGACATGGATTAGCTGGCTTATTGTCAAAGACCTTGACTGTTTAAACACCTCATTCCATTAGATCCTAAGTGCAGCCTGGAGGGAGGAGTCGGGTTTCCCAGAAGAGCTTGATGCACAACATCACCTTAAGGCTGAGATGATAAAACAATATATAGATGAATCAATTAGGAGAGCACTAACAGACCATTTAGCTAGCAGTTTCCCACCCTGCAATCAAATGTGCGAGATGACGACTGTTCAGAAATCTGCTCCTTATTTAGCCCCTCATGTCTCTTTTGTCTTTGACATTAGCGGACATTAAATAACAACGGAAATTTGAGAATAACTGTTAACATGTATGAGGTCATTTCAGTACTAAAGAAACCCAGATGTTATGTGATTTTTTTTTATGCAGGTCGAAAGGTGCAAACAAATAATAAATGATGTATAGTTTCAAAAAGTTAGACAACTTTTATTGTCACAAACGTGGTGCAAATTCCAGAACACCCAAGCACAAAACAAATGCAACAGAAAAATGCAGCAGAAAAAGGCAAAACAAACTGCAAACAGGTGCAAATGGCAGCAAACGGCTAGCCTGGGTGCCATTCCAAACTTAGTCCCGCCCACAACGTTTGAGGTCGGGAAGTTCAGTCTGGCATTGCTCAATAGTAGCGCGAGTATGCTCGCACAATATCTGGCGGGCCAATCAAATTGTCAGGGCGGGCTTTATACGATGATGGACAGATGATCAACAGTAACGTAATCAACCACGTGACCAAAGCGTGCTTGGGTGACAACAACAATTGCTGCCGCTGGAGAGTTGAGGTGAGTAGATTCTGCTATAAGGGCTGTTCTAGAAGATATCGACAGCAAATAAATTTTAAAAGAGGAACAGAGAAACGCGATCAAGTCTAATCTTCTTATTCTAGGCGTGAAACTGCACGCTTTGATTTTTGTGGACAACAACTATGCGTCGCTTAACATACATCACGCACTCCGTTGCTCTTATTGGTTGTAGGTCTATCCAATTGAGTGCAGAGGCATTTTTTTTTCCTGGTTCGTTCGAAACACGCCCCATAATCACAGCTCTATGGAGCAGTATCAGACTCATATTCTGACTAGAATTGAGTCGGACTACGTCAGGCTAGAAAACGGCTGCCATTTGCAGCAAACGGCTGCAATATCCAAAATATGCAAACACAAAAACAAAGGAAAAAGAAAAACACTGCAAACATGAATTGCTGTAATCACTAACAATAGGAAGAAAAAAAACTACAATTAACAAAAAATGCTACAACCGCAAACAAAAAACTGCGAGCAAATGCAAAATGCTGCATCTTCAGAAAGAAAATGATACTTGATGTTTTGGAGTTTGCATCATAAATGTTTTTACATCTCGTTTTTTTGTCATTTGCTGCGAGTTTGCACCTATGGCAGCCGTAGGTTTTTGCAAATTAGAAAAATAATTGTATGTGTAGTCCACTGAACTAAGTGTAGTTTCACTTTTTTAACAATTGGATGGAAAACCTCAATATATTTTGTTCCAGTATTCAGAGCAGCATTGTTACGACCTTCGGAAATGCTTTATAAATTCAAGAGAAAAATAATTTAAGATTTTTACTAAACAGTTCCTCATGTTTATCTTTTCCAGTGGTCTTGTGCCTCTACATAATGCCTGCTCTTATGGACACTATGAAGTCACTGAACTGCTGCTAAAGGTAAGAGTTCTCAAACAAACAATCACATCAATAGATTCTTTTTTTGCGAAATGGAAATGTAATTAATACATTTGTTCAAAGGCATTAAGGATTCACTCCTCCATTTTTTTGTGTTTCATTTCTAGCATGGAGCTTGTGTAAACGCCATGGATCTGTGGCAGTTTACACCTCTACATGAAGCGGCTTCCAAAAACCGAGTCGAGGTCTGCTCTCTTCTTCTGAGCCACGGAGCTGATCCCACCCTGCTGAACTGCCACAGTAAAAGCTCTGTGGACATGGCTCCAACTCCTGAGCTGAAGGAGAGACTCACATGTGAGCCTAGCTGAATGCGTAGCTGGTGAAACAGCTGTTGTTTTAAAACAACTGTCTCTTTAAATTATGCCTAAACCTTAAATATCTGTTATTACCTGAAATTGATTTTTTTTTTATTTGACTTAGTTCCTCTTTTGCACTTAAAAACATTGTTTGCTGTTTAAACTGTTTAACAAAGCAACACATACTGTTGTCGTAAAACGGAAAAGTAAGAATAGATTCCAGGATTATTCCAGATGAGCTACAGCAGATAATAGATTTTAAAGAACAGATGCTGCTTTAGCTCTATTATAAACCCCCCCAAATAAGCTGTGCTCAGATTAAACGGTTTTAAAATTCGAAAAGAGGTTTGATGTTTATTTGCTCTCAATGTGCCTTCAGATGAGTTTAAGGGCCACTCGCTGCTTCAAGCGGCGCGAGAAGCAGACATGACCAAAGCGAAGAAGACCCTCGCTTTGGAGATCATCAACTTCAAACACCCCCACACACATGAAACGGCGCTGGTGAGATCGAAACCTGCTCCGCTCACAGGCTGACACCTTGAATTATCTGCTGATTTCTTTTCTCTGCTTTTGTTTCTGTTTGTTAGCATTGTGCCGTCGCCTCACCTCACCCCAAACGGAAACAGGTCACAGAGCTGCTGTTGAGGAAAGGTGCCAACGTCAATGAGAAGAACAAGGAGTGAGTTTTCCGTTCCCATTATTGTGCTGTTAATGAATACCAAGAGTTAATTTTAGATTTGCCCCAAAGCTGATTTATTTCAGAGGAGACAATCAGAGATTTCTTTTTTTGATGTGATGAATAGCAACAGACTTTGGTCACCAGTGTTTTACAAGGAATTAATCAATACAGTGTGATGTTGGTCCAGGATCGGTACAAAGACTTTTAAAAACCCTTTTCAACCATATGTATTTTATTGTTTTATTTAATGTTTTTGTCTAAGGATTTTTCATCCTCTGGCTCACAGGTTTTGTCTAACTAATGCTCTAACTCTAATGTTTTAAGGATAACAATAAGGGCTGGGTAAAATAATCGATTTAATCGATTTTGGATCGATTCCTTTACATTTTTGCAAAATCGATGTCTAGGAAATGAGATCGATTAGTTTTATAGTGACGCGCGTGACGTTGACGTTCAAATGAGCAGGAAAGATGCACTCAAAATACTTCAAGCCAGACAGCTGCACATATAGCCAATAGGTTGATTGAAGACATAAAAAAAATGGAGGCTGACCATCAAACACCCTGTAGTTGTTACAGACAACGTTGCAAATATGGTTTGTGCAGTGGAGATAATGCAGCTCATGCATGTCTGCTGTGTCACGTCTGTTTGCTCGAGTGAGGCTTTTTCACTTTTTACAAACAAGTTTGCAATTTTGAGACATTTTTTCACATCTGAAGTTTAAACTGTCCGATTTACAAGTTTGCACTTTGTGTTTAATATGACAGGAAAAAATAAAATACATGAGTGTTTTGAAACACAGTTGAACCACTTTCATTATTGTAAAAACAGATCGAATTAAAATTAATCAATTTAGAACTGAATGAATCAAAATCGAATCGATTTCGATACCCAGCCCTAATAACCATGTTTTTTTTTTTGTTTTTTTTTTTGGTTTTACCCACACTAGTCTTTTCAAGTAAAGCCCTTCTTTGGCTCAACAATTTTTTTTAAGGACTTTACAACCGCACACACCCCTCCTATGACTATTGATGTCATCAGTGTATAATAACTGAAAAGGCAGAATTCAATAAAATATATGTTTTTCTTAATTGGACCAAATTAGGAATTTATGAATTTTTAAATGTGATTAGAATCTAGGACTAAGTAATGCTAATTTTAGACCAAAATCCATAAGATTTGGCACATGTTTGTTTTTATTCATATTTGTCTTCATTGTAGCATGGCCTGTTTTTCCTTTGCCAACATTTGTAGTAATTGCACACACTTCAAAATGAAAATAAACAAGTGATGAAGACGTAAACATTGCAGCCTGCTATAAGGCTGCACTGGGGAACAGAGATATTTTATCTCAATTTAAATCTATGAGGATGCAGTGTTGGAAGAGAGGAAGATGTGTAACTGCAGCTCAGTCAGAGGAGGTTGATCTTTACCTTGTTGTGTCTCCTATCCTCCCTAGTTTCATGACACCTCTTCATGTGGCAGCAGAGCGGGCGCATAATGACATTATGGAGGTGCTTCAGAAACATGGTGCAAAGGTAAGTGAGTCATTCTTTAGCTGATAAATGGATAAGCTGTCATCTTCTCTCCATGAAATATCTATATCCAAACCTTTTTTTTTTTTATGTTTCATGTTAACTCTTTTTATAATTTTAAAAGGAGTTCCTCGAGTTTCCTAAAATTTGTTAATTGACAAGATTTCTATATATTTTTTTATTTTAAGGTGAATTTCCTCCACATGATCTCCATCGTTTGCACAGGAAACATTTCTGTGACATTTAATTACATAAACCGGGGCGGCTCTTTGAAAAATCCTAACAGTGAGATGTTTGTGTGTGCAGGTCAACGCCCTCGACACGCTGGGTCAGACGGCTTTGCACCGTGCAGCGCTCGCCGGCCACCTACAGACCTGCAGGCTGTTGTTAGGATACGGGGCGGACGCCACGCTGGTGTCACTGCAGGGTTTCACCGCCGCTCAGATGGGAAATGAAGCTGTGCAGCAAATCCTCAACGGTATGCTGGGCTTTGTGTGGGTGGGCGGCGTGGTAGCTGGAAGAGTACACGTGTAGGACGTGCTGGGGTTTGGTTGCTAAGCATCAGCTGCTGATAGGAGGATTAACCGGAACTGTTCTGTAAAGGTCGATATCGATATTTTCTCTGTGAAAGTGGTAGGTAATCAGGCTCTGAGCGAGCCGACTAGGGATTGGAGAGACACTATATAACAAGTTCTTTTTCTGATTAAAATGTTCGTTTATAATGTCATAATTATACTTAATTAGACTTAATCTGGTCTAAACCCCTGATAATTATTCTTGTTTTTACATCATTGTCTAATGAGCATAAAGGAAAGTACAAAATGTATCAGCTGTAATGAATCATTGCCCATGTCTGAATCCATTCACACTTTAACTGTGTGAAAAGAGATCAGGATATATTCCCTCTTCCCGTCCTAAAGCATGTTTTTCAAAGTTTGAGGTTTTTTTGTTCAGCCCTCCTACTAATGTTTGTCCAAAGCATATGCTGCTTCACAGCCTCCATTGATCTTCTGCTCCTCTGCAGAGAACGTCCCAGTGAGAAACTCAGATGTGGACTACAGACTTCTGGAAGCTGCCAAAGCAGGAGACCTGGATACTGTCAAGGTAGTTTTATTTATTTAACATTGCATTTCTTTTTACCGACTTATGATTTGAACTCTGTCTAAGTCACAAAAGTATCGGTAAATAAGAAACTCTGAGCTAGAGGGATAAACTCCCATGACATATTCGTCATGATTTTAAGTCCAGGTTAATGTTTAGATTCTTAGAGGTTAGGAATTTTAATTTGTGTTTGGACTGTTTCAAAAAAAGAAATACCGCAATTTTCGGACTATAAGCCGCGACTTTTTCCCCATTTTTTGACCTTGCGGCTTATATAACAATGCGGCTTATCTATGGACTTTTACAGCTAACTAGGGTAATACCTAAATCTATGGATTTTACCATCCACCACGTTGACGGTACATTTGCTTTAACACACAAGTACGGTGGCCGCGTGTGCGAGAATGCTGAGGTCCTCCGGAAGCAGACTTCTACCGCGAGTGGTACGAGACAGAACGACGGCGAGTGCTTTTCAGTGGGTGTGAGTCATGGAAGAAATTTTGATTTCAGAGGTGGGGGCGACGCAAGTATTTTTAATATAACTAACTTCAGGGTGTGTGACCATCCAATCAAAGACCCGATTCAGCGGAGCATCACCTCTTTGTAAAGGGAGCTTCTCAGGAGTGACAGCGGTGACAGCCTTTCACACAAGAAAAGACGGTGGGCCAATCAAGAGCTTGTGGGCGGTCTAAACTCAGGGCAGCTTGAGCTTTTCCGCTTGGTCCTAGTGCTGGACGTATGTCTGTGTGTACTGTAGCGTAACATTGTATTTGGACAGTCAAAAGTACAGGGGTGCAGACACACACACAAAAGAATACTAGCTCCACTAAAGAATGCTAGCAGAATAATATGGGCAGAAAAGTACAGGACAAGACCTTTATAAAATAAAAAAAATAAATATAAAGAATAATATTTATTTACATAAAGCATTACAGAATGCTAAAACATTGTATAGAAAATATTGAAGACTTTTCTCGAAGAAATGGATACGTTTTATACTCTCTCCATTGTATTACGTCACATTATCATTTGAAATGCTCAGAGCAGTCAGAGTAAAGCTCAAATGGCTATTTAAGTGTATTGCTTTTTTCATTTTTAGAATATGCAATATTTACGCAAATACAAAATATTCAAAACCCAACGGAAAAAAAGCAAAAGAGTAAAAAAGTATGAAAAAGTTATTCTGTTCGCGCAGGACGGATCGTGCTTCCGGGACGGATCCTTAGTGACAAGCAGTAAGAGCTGCGCTTCGTCGGCTCTTTATTTCCGCTCTGCAGGAGTTGAGCCTAGTTTGCTTCCTGAAATCTTCCTTCAACCATGACACTTCCTGCTCTTTACTTCATGGAGTTAATAGAGGTTTCTTTTTCTTCAAATGGATATTTGATTTATTCTAAATATGGTTTATGTTCTGCTGTCAGACAACCTGTTCAAAAACATCATTGGAGAAGTTCTGGGTTTTGTTTTCTTTGGCCTTCATGCTTTAATTTTAAAGATTTTCTTTTTGTTCACCTCTTATGTAAATTAAACAAAGGATTTTTTTTTTTTCTGTATAAACATTAGCCCAACTCTGCTTAAGTTTCCATTAGGATATTTCGTGGGTTTATTTTTCAGTCCACTTTCCTTGTGAAGGAACTCAGACAAACTGACTTTAAATCCTTTAACAGACTCCCAACCTGCTGCAAACTCCTTCAAAAAGCTGAGTGACGATGTTCTAATCATGCACGCTTGATGGGGTCCGCCTTTGTGTACTCAGCTGTTAACACGTCTCTAAAATAAAAAATAACAATGTCCTGACCTTTGCAGCTGTTGTTTCTGCTCCTGAGGCGTTCTGGCCAAAGGGCTCTGATAAATGCCAATTGATTATTCTATCTCAGTTGAAGGGAATTTTATTTCTACCTGTTTGATTTTAAGAATAACGAAACCTTTATTCTCATGATTGAAATTAACCTTTCTACACTTCATTCTTTTTCAATAATAGTGAACAAAAAAACAGCAGAAACACACACAGCTCCGCAGTAAGAGAGGAAAACTGACGCTTGATTTGTTTTCATCTTCATTCATTGACAGTAGTTGTTAAATGGGTCAAAAAAGGCTGTGAGGGCATAAATTCTGAGGATTTGACAGATCAGCAGACATTTATTGTAACCCACTGGATGTTACCTAAGGTATGATGCAAATACTGTCATCTGTAAATTTTTTATGCGTTTAGAAACCGTCGCTGTCCTTGATGACACTTGTTTACACTAAACTTTTCTGAGCAGAATGTAGCTCAGCTAGTGTTACTAACAGACCGGTGAGGCCTGAAGGATCTTAAAGTTGGAGCAAAATATCTTTCAGATCCAAATAAATTTAGAAAAATAAATCAGGATATTTAAAAATGTTTGTATTTCTAGAATGATTTGCGTATCTTTTTGTTAAGAGCTAAATTTATCCTGTCAGTAAATGTATTTAAAAGGTAAATATCTGAACCTACTTTAGGAAGAGAGGATTAACATTAAAACATGGATATTCTACTAATCATTCATCTTTTCATTCATTCATACATTATTTAGATGACCTAAAGAGGATCTGTTTCGTTATCCGCTATTCATACATCTAGCTGTTAGTCTCCTGTAGATTTATCGATTTTGTTAAACATCTGTTGGTTCCTCCACACCAAGTGGAAAAATGTTTCCATAAAGTCCTGCTGAACTGTGGGTTTTACTCCCTCATGTTAATGAAAAAAGAAACACAAACAAATTTTTTCCCCTCAAAAAGAGGGATTCATGTGTTTTTCTGCTTTATTCAGAGACATTCAAGTCATGTTAAAAATCAGATTTATTTCTTATTGTGAAGCTTCTTGTTTTCATCCGAGTTAAAGTCCAAACGGTTTCTCTGAATGCGTTATTCCAATCACTCTCCAAGCCTGTGTCTGTATTAGTTTTACTGTGCACGCCGCTTATATTGACATACTCTTTCTTCCCTCTCCTGTCCGTCTGCAGTCGCTGTGTACTGCTCAGAATGTGAATTGCAGAGATCTTGAAGGACGGCACTCCACTCCTCTCCACTTCGCTGCCGGCTACAACCGAGTGTCACTGGTGGAGTACCTGCTGCACCACGGGGCTGATGTGCACGCCAAGGATAAAGGGTGTGTAAGATTGGAATAAAATATCCTGTTTTATGTTCTTAGAGATAGTTAGTCATCTATAACCACCTCTCCTGCAGCGGGCTGGTTCCCCTTCATAACGCCTGCTCATACGGTCACTATGAGGTGGCCGAACTGCTGGTCCGACACGGCGCCTCTGTCAACGTGGCCGACTTGTGGAAGTTCACGCCGCTTCACGAAGCAGCAGCGAAGGGCAAATATGAGATCTGCAAACTGCTATTAAAGGTTTGTTTTTTTTTGTTTTACAAATACTTTTTTCCTTCAAACCTAATTCAGGTCTTTTAATGCAGGTTTACTGTGTTGGATGATTAAATCTGCTTCAGGCAGGAGCTGAGATCCCATAGAAACCTGCCTCTGCTCAGCAAATCAAGATGACTTTGAAGGAGAAGCAAACTTACCGAAGTTGAATCTAGTCTTATAGCTTATGTCGGTAGGACAGTTAATGTTTCTGGATAAACCTAAGAAACTGGAACTGATGATGTTCGCCAAGAGTTTTGATGAAAAACATCAAATTTCCACATCTCCTTTAGCCTCTCTCCATTTCCTAAAATGTTTGCTGTGATTATGTAGTGAGCAGAGGGTTGCTAAATCTGTAGATGTTTCATTAATGTGGAAGACATTTTTACCTCAGTCTGATTGGCTCAACCCTTCTAACTGCGTGTTTTCCCTCATGTCACTGATAACTTTATGCAGACGTGTGTTAAAGACTGCCAAGGCTGCATAGGGCAGCTTCTGCCTCCTGCAGAAGGAAAGGAGTAAGAGACTGAAATAGATTAAAGGTTCATTAACAGTCCTGGTTCAGGTCCAGACATAAATTAAAAAAATGTCACCTCAACCCTTGATAGGGCAAGTTACCATTTTTGATCACTTGCATAACCCTTACAAATGGAGTCCCCCCCCATCCCTCAATGAGTTCTAGAAGCACAAGATCTATATCTAGCCATTCAGCAAAGATGCTAATACATGGCTGTACATCTTATTTTGGCATTTGACCAACTAGATGAGCTCTTGAATGATATATTTACCTACTGTAAATTAAGTTGAAAAAAAAAATTAAGTCAAGAAAAAAAGGTAAAAAGCTAATTGAAAAGATAAAAAGTTAATAAGCCTAGTTAACAATTATATTTAGGTTTATAAGCTAAAAAACACAAGTACCAGTATCAGCATTAATGCCTCTAAGTTAACGTTATACCAAAAAAAAAAAAATTTTTCTTTCACTTTCAAAGTGTTTTTCATAATTTTCTTACAGAAGCACTTTTGTTAGTTTTCAAGTTGGCGTTTCTTGTTATTATTTTGACATTAATTTTGCCATCAAAATATCCGTATTTTTTAAATGTTACAAAGGTAAAAGGTCCTGTCCTGGACTCCAATAACACTATTGGCTTGAAATTCTGATTTTCAAAGTATTTCTCCCTATAAAGGGTTAATTTGGTCTGGATTGCTTTCATAAAGATTATTAGATGGAATCAAACAGCACCATGCATTTGGAGCGGATAATTCTGGGGAAATATGAAGAGTAGAGTAAGTCTGGCGCATTAATGGCAAACAAATGCCTCCTTAGTGTGTGGCGGTTTGCAGCGGTAGCCAGGAGGGGATTAATCCCTCACAGCTTTTCATCGCCCTTCCACCCAATTTTCCCCAATTTTATTTGCAGTAAACGATTTCAATTGGCAGCTAAACAGTCCCACAGCATCATGTTACTACCACCGTACAGTATTCCTATGTTTGAAAGCCTTCTACATAGATGCTTTCTACTCCTGATTCCATGTAGCTGCAGGTTCTTAAGGCATTTTTTTCAGTGTTAGTTTAAAATATTTTCTCTCCTGTAATTTTCTTGAACATAGAATAAATCATTTTGGGATCCAAACAGCTTTGAATCCAGGTGTCTTAGATGGATGAATGGCAGCTCCAGAACTCAAACAGACACCCATGGGAGTGGTCCCACTACATTCAGCCTTAATAAGGACATTTTAAAGCTTAGGATGAAGTGACAGGTGAAACTGAAAGCCTGGGAAAAGCTGAGGAATGAGAGCGTCTGCTTTCTCTCCCTTCCTGGTGGTTTCTGCTTCACTGAGCATCTCGTGTGCAACTCTCTGCTTTTTATATTCCCTCCTCTTTCTCATCTACTCCTTTGTAAAATTCTCATGTCTTCATCTTACTCATCACCGGTCACCATCTTATTCTTATTTGAGTGGTGGTTCTGGCATTTGAAACATTTCTATTTTTAGATTGGAGTTTTTATTTTCATGCTTTTCTGAATAATGAGATTCACCAAATGTAGACTAAAACGTTGGCCTCTCTTTTAACTTTTGTAAACTCAATCCCTGGGCTTCCCTACCTTTAGCATGGAGCAGATCCAACCAAAAAGAACCGAGACGGTAATACGCCCCTGGATCTGGTGAAAGACGGCGACACGGACATCCAGGACCTGCTGAGAGGAGACGCTGCGCTGCTGGACGCTGCAAAGAAAGGCTGCCTCGCTCGGGTACAGAAGCTATGCAGCCCGGACAACATCAACTGTCGGGACACGCAGGGACGCAACTCCACGCCGCTGCACCTGGCAGGTAATATCCCACGAAAAGCACAAGGCAAAACGCATCCAATTAGTGCTGGTGAAGATTCTCAGTCATCCAGGTCATAGTCATTCCAAAAAAGTTAAAAAAATTATCCACTGGACTTTGTTTCCAAATTGACGTTTTGCTTCCCATCCAGGGAGCTTTATAATTTCAAAATTTCAGATATAGGGTTGAGTTCGAGGCTTTATTCAGTAGCCCAGGAAAGCCTCGTTTTGGCTTAGAAAACAAATGGAACCAGACGAACAGGTCCGCCTCTTTGGAATTGGGGTCGTTTGGCTTATTTTTAGCCTTTAATACCCGATACCTGTCTATGTCTGTTAAAGGGAGGTCGTTAGAGGTAATTGTTTGCCTGGCTGAATAGGCGTGGTCTATAAGGGGATGGGGGTAGCGATAATAGCAGGAAGGAATGTGTTGGGCCATGCGTCTGCACTGATTTGCACACAGCACTCCGCTCATATTTGGTCTGGGGGCTTGTATTTAGGATGCACTAGTCTCTGTTTAAGGGAACTGGGAATCAAATTGGTGGTTATAATTTACAGGTTTGGTTATACAGGTGTCCAAAGGTTTCTAATGAACCAAAGATTAGAAAAGATGGTTCTAATGGATACATAAAGAAAATACCTTACATCTCTTAACCTGAACCCATGGAACAGTAATTTTGAAGATTGCGGTAGAAATGATGGAATTAAAAACCTCAAACGTATTTATTAAAATCAGTTTTTCCCACGATCATTGCTCCCCAAAGTGTTTTTACTTTTGTCCACTTTGCTTTAATCAGCATTTTCCACCCATGAATCGATCTGGAAAATATTTGCATCCTCAGGTTATATCATGCATTCTTCTTTCCTACTGTGCTTCCTTTAGACCTCTCCGTCCATCTTTCCGTCCTTCTCCCTTTTGTCTCTCCACCTACCTTTCTTCTAGTCCATTCCTTTTTTCTTGTTTCCCTCCTCTGTGTGTTTTTGTCCCTTCTTTTCTTTGAAAAAATTGAATAAAAAAATGTAAGAACGGCAGTCTTTGGATTGCAGCCATGAACACGTCCCCTTTAATACGTCAGAAGGTAAAAGTAGATTATGTTTTTTTCTGTCAGTCACCGTCTCTTTGAGTTTGTCAAAGCCACTCTTTGTTTTCTGACGCTGCGACTTGCTAACAGCCAGGAAGTAAACATTTCAAAGAAGCAAAGGTCTTCAAGATTATTATCATATCATATTATTGTCCAGCTGCCTGACTTATGTTGCTACATTTAGATCCTTACTTTTTTTTTATTGATCTTTTTACTGATATTTTGTCCAAATGTAATTTAGATTAAAATAAAGGAAAAAAAACAGTCATCTGAGCTGCTGATGCATTCTTGGTCCAGCATTCTTGCAGCATTTTTACACAAATGCTTGAGGGCATTGGCAGCTTGTACACTTTCTACCTGAAATATTAACCACATATTTTAATATCTACTTTTAAAACATGTGCTAATTTGTCAAATGTTCAAAGATGAACATTTCTGTCGAGTTTATAGGTGAGGCGAGTTGATCTGGAATAGTCTGGTAGCCTCACACCAGATAGAGACAAAGTTATTTTGGCCTGAAGGCCAAACAAACACATTGTTATGTATATATTCAGAATCTGTAATCATAGTGTCATCAGTTAGAGCGATAACAGATCTGTTTGTTCTACTAGGACACCTTACAGACTCCAACAGGCACAGCAAATGACTAATGAGATTCATACCTTAGTGATCATCTGTCCCTGAGTGAACTAGAGAATGAGGGCAGGTGTTGGAGAAAGAATTTTGTCTTGTATTTTCAGGAATAATGAGACTAAAAGTACCTTTTATTTGGTTGTTAGGTTAAAAAAATAAGATATTTGTGTAAGTGTCCCTCTTATAATATCTTATAGAAAAAATGTAAGCATTGGCTTAATGCATGCTTGAAATAGAAATAAATTATTCTTTATAAATATCTTGCAAAATTCATGAGTTTTCTTTTTTTTAAAAGAGCAAGTTTCTGCTATTGTCAGGGTTGGTTGTGGTTTAGGACCAAAATGCAGAGGCAGAGAGGCTGAGGTGATTTCTTGTGGATTTAATCGAAGGAAAAAGTAAACAAAGGCAGGGATGCAAAAATCCAACTAAAAAAGAAAAGCAAACCAGAACTGTGGAGACATCTGGGGAAACCAAACACTAGGAGCCAGTGAGAGACGAGGTAGGTGGACAACAGCATGGGAGGACAGCAAAGACAAGGAACCAACAAAGAATGAGAGCAGAGGGAGAGCATATACAGGTGCTGGTCATAAAATTAGAATATCATGAAAAAGTAGATTGATTTCAGTAATTCCATTTAAAAAGTGAAACTTGTATATTATATTCATACATTACATACAAACTCATATATTTCAGATGTTTATTTTGTTTAATTTTGATGATTACAAATGACAACAAATGAAAATCTCAAATTCATCATATCAGAAAATTAGAATATTGTGAAAAGGTTCAAAATTGATGGCCCCTGGTGCCACACTCTAATCAGCTAATTAACTCAAACCACCTGCAAAAGCCTTTAAATGGTCTTTCAGTCTAGTTCTATAGGCTACACAATCATGGGGAAGACTGCTGACTTGACAGTTGTCCAAAAGACGACCATCGACACCTTGCACAAGGAGGGCAAGACACAAAAGGTCATCGCTAAAGAGGCTGGCTGTTCACAGAGCTCAGTGTCCAAGCACATTAATAGAGAGGCGAAGGGAAGGAAAAGATGTGGTCGAAAAAAGTGTACAAGCAAGAGAGATAACCGCACCCTGGAGAGGATTGTGAAACAAAACCCATTCAAAAATGTGGGGGAGATTCACAAAGAGTGGACTGCAGCTGGAGTGAGTGCTTCAAGAACCACCACACACAGACGTATGAAAGACATGGGTTTCTGCTGTCGCATTCCTTGTGTCAAGCCACTCTTGAACCACAGACAGCGTCAGAAGCGTCTTGCCTGGGCTAAAGAGAAACAGGACTGGACTGCTGGTGAGTGGTCCAAAGTCATGTTCTCTGATGAAAGTAAATTTTGCATTTCCTTTGGAAATCAAGGTCCCAGAGTCCGGAGGAAAAGAAGAGAGGCACTTCATCCACGTTGCTTGAAGTCCAGTGTAAAGTTTCCACAGTCAGTGATGGTTTGGGGTGCCATGTCATCTGCTGGTGTTGGTCCATTGTGTTTTCTGAGGTCCAGGGTCAACGCAGCCACATACCAGGAAGTTTTAGAGCACTTCATGCTTCCTGCAGCTGACCAACTTTTTGGAGATGCAGATTTCATTTTCCAACAGGACTTGGCACCTGCACACAGTGCCAAAGCTACCAGTACCTGGTTGAAGGACCATGGTATCCCTGTTCTTAATTGGCCAGCAAACTCTCCTGACCTTAACCCCATAGAAAATCTATGGGGTATTGTGAAGAAGAAGATGCAATACACCAGACCCAACAGTTCAGAAGAGCTAAAAGCCACTATTAGAGCAACCTGGGCTATCATAACACCTGAGCAGTGCCACAGACTGATCGACTCCATGCCACGCCGCATTGCTGCAGTAATACAGGCCAAAGGAGGCCCAACTAAATACTGAGTGCTGTACATGCTCATACTTTTCATGTTCATACTTTTCAGTTGGCCAACATTTCTATAAATCCTTTGTTTTTATTGGTCTTCAGTAATATTCTAATTTTCTGATATGATGAATTTGAGATTTTCATTTGTTGTCATTTGTAATCATCAAAATTAAACAAAATAAACATCTGAAATATATGAGTTTGTATGTAATGTATGAATATAATATACAAGTTTCACTTTTTAAATGGAATTACTGAAATCAATCTACTTTTTCATGATATTCTAATTTTATGACCAGCACCTGTATAGCAGAGAGAGACAAAGGGAGGGTTAACGAGCAGACAAGGAGCAGGTGTAAGAGGAGACAACGAGGGAGCCAAGGGGAAAGGAACATACACACACAAGAGGGCAAAAGAGGACAACAGAAAAACATGAGAACTAACAAATCTAGAATTTACAACAAAACTGTAATTAAACCAATAAAATTAGAAAACAAGGAGCAAAGTAAAGAACAACAGAACCAAGACCATGACAGCTATAGAGTCTTACTTAACTGGACTGAAAACGGAAATGGCTCTTTGGTTGGTGAGGGTTGCAGACCCCTAATCTAATCCTATAACAAGTTAATTTATAATAGATAATTGTTTAGTTTATGGTTTATTTTTTCATCTATAGCACTTTCAATTTCCACCACTTGTAAAATATCGCTGATCCTACAAGCTTTTAGAATCTCTTTGAGAAATGAGATTGTTTTTTTGTTTTGTTTTTTTATATTTCTGGAATGAATAAAAAAGAAACACTGTGTTCATGATGAATTTGTTGTTTCCATAGCTTTTTTTTTTTCATGTTGAAGCAGACAAGAAAATGTTTTCACACTGCAGCCCGTAGTCGGATATTCTAACAATTTGTTATCCGACTTCCTTGTCTCTAATTTCACGGTTTTGTTGTTTCCACTCTCCTCCATCTTGTCTCTCTATCCCCTCCTCTGCTCTCCACTGCTCTCCAGCCGGTTATAACAACTTGGAGGTTGCAGAGTATCTGTTGGAGCATGGAGCCGACGTGAACGCTCAGGACAAAGGAGGATTGATACCTTTGCACAATGCAGCTTCATATGGGGTAAGACAATCGACACATAAGACGTTTTGATCCATTTTCCCTAATTACCCTTAAACTTTACTAATCAGCTCAATGATCCAAGCTTGTTTCTATCTCAAGGTCAATGCACCCGCTCTGTGATTTAAGATTAACTTACAAATCTGTTTAATGAGCCATACAAAAAAAAAAAAGCTATTTTACTACAGTCAATCCTTAAGTACAATAATTTTTTTCTGGAATCCATCAAATATCTACAAATGGTTGATGGAATATATGTGACATTTTTGGAGGCTTTTATGCGATCAAGCAAAACAGAGCAGCGAGAACCATAAGGTGGAACTAGAACAAGTGATTACCTGCTTAAAGCGAAATGCGAGAAGTCGTAAGAGGTACTAAGAAAGGCAGCAAAAAAGCCACATAGTAACTCTGGAGGAGCAGTGGAGGTCCACAGCTCAGGTGGAATCCTCACCTAACTATTACAACCATTATTTACTGAAACCTTTACTGAAAAAACAAACCAACACAACACAATACAACAAACCAAACCAAAACAACACGGTCTGAAAGATGAAGGAGGCAGCATGAGGCTTATTGAGCAGGGAAGATGGTTGGAGTTAACAAGATGTCTGGAGCGAAAATGGTAGCCTAGTTATAATAAATGCTTTAGTTAAAGTCCAGGCCTAAATGAGATTATGTGGCAAATGAGGAGCTGCTTCTCAGACACTTCCCATCCAGTCTGACTGAGTCTGAGCTATCTTTAAGAGGTAAATCACTTTCTAGATGTTCTACTCTGATAGATCTATATGGTAAGCCAGAATAATTGAAGCTGTGGGTGCAGCAGAAGATGGTTTTATAAACGATTCACCCAGGAGGTAAACACATTTACAAACATTTGATAAATTCATTGTCTTCCACATGACAATTATGCATTAATTTGCCTCCTAATAGGTTAATAGGTGTAGCATTAATGTCAAAAGTTTGATGTGATGAAAGTTAGCAAACTACTGCAGTTAACATCCAATATCTTGTCATTTTTCTTCGTCTTTCCAAACACTTTTTTTGTGCACAGATTGTCTAAAGAATATGCAGGATTTAGCTTTTTTATTTCTCCTCATCCACATTCCCTGGAGGTCTGAGTGTGGCTCCTGTTTAGTCAGTGTGGTGCTGCTGAAAAAGTAATGAAACACATGTTTGCATGAAAGCTTTATGAGCTCTGCATTGTTGAAGGCAAACATAAACACACTAGGGCATCCCCCCTCTGTGTCTCAAAAACAAGTTCCACTGTTTGATGCTGAGAGAGGAAACCGAGGACAAACAGAGGAGAGGAAAGACGCGTAGTAAAACAAGAATCATGGCGACAGTTGCTGATTCTGTTCCACATAAAACCACATTTTACAAATTAAGTTTGCTCATCCTGTCGCTTCTCTCCCCCATCTAGCATGTGGACATAGCCGCCCTGCTGATTAAGTACAACACGTGCGTGAATGCCACCGACAAATGGGCTTTCACCCCCCTCCACGAAGCGGCGCAGAAAGGCCGCACCCAGCTCTGCGCCCTGCTGCTGGCTCACGGAGCTGATCCCACCATGAAGAACCAGGAGGGACAGACGGCGCTGGACCTTGCTACAGTAATGAGAGCCCACACAAAGATTTCTGCCAGTATAAATCTAAATTCCCTCCCATCAGGACCCCCGTACTGGTGACACACTGCGAAATATAACTAGCTTCAGCTAATGTGCAGGTAATTAGAGTTCACTATTTTTACCTGCAGTGCACCATCGAGGGAGGATGTAAGGGTAAAGATTGTTCATGCACACTAATGAGGCTTCCTAACATGGCTCCTGAGGTACCATAGTTTGCTGTGGACAGAAAACCATTACAGCTGATACTAAAGGGCAGGAGTTTCCAATAAATTAAGCGATTTAAAAAGTATTCATGAACTTCTTCAAATCTTTGCACATATTTTCATTGATTTTCATTTGTTTTTAAGAAGATAGATCGACAAATGGTGGTCAAAAGATCTGAGTGTTTGTGACCGGGAATATATAAGTATCCCTACAATGTTTACTAAAGATATTTAAGTCTTGACTTTGACTTGGCCATTCAAACACATGAAAATGTTGTTGAATCTGAACCGCCACCTGGTAGCTCTGTATGTTAAGGAATGACTCGATGTCAAACCTCTACTCCGGTCTTTAGAAACCGCCAACAAGTTTTCCTTCTTGATTGCTCCATTAATCTGCATCCATCCTCTCATCTACTGACCAATATCTCTGTCTTAGCTTTAAAGCCAGCATCCCCACAGCATGATGCTGCCACTACCAATGTTTTACACTGGCAGCTCATAGTATTTTGCTTGTTTGAATTAAACTGCTTCAATCCACTTTATATAGATGTATAGCACAGGTAACAACAAAAGTGTTTCTAATGTGCTTTACATAAAAACAAAAGAAACAAAAAAAACAGTTTCAAATTAATACATACATAAAAAGGACACAGAGCGCCACACTATTACGCAGTGTTAAAAGCCAAAGAGTGTGATTAACCAGATTATGAACCAAACAGCACTCTGTGATATGATTACTAGTGTTGTTTAGTGACCAAACCCTGCTTTAAAGTTCTGCACAGCTTTGCTGCCATGGTTCTTTGTCATCGTGATGCTAGGTTTTATTAAGGGGTCTCTAAAAAAGTCTCAATTGCTCTTGAAGACAAAACTTTTCAGCTTCCTATTTGAAAAGGATGGATTTTTCTCCCGCTACTTTAAAACCATGTGCTACATTATAAAGTCCACCTTTTTCCACTTAATACAGTTAGCCAAAATAAAACCCATTATTTCAAAACAACATTTTCAAACAGTGATCCATGCATTTGTGACCACACGGCTGGATTACTGCAACTCACTTTATACAGGGGTCAGTGATTTGTATATTTCCCAACTTCAGAGGGTTCAAAATGCTGCTGCACGTCTTTTAACAGGTACACGAAAGTTCGACCACATTTCCCCTGTTTTAGCTTCCTGGCACTGGCTGCCAGTACATTTTAGGATTGATTTTAAAATTCTTTTGTTTTTAAAACTCTTAATGGCCTTGCCCCTTCTTATCTGTCTGAGCTGTTGCATTCTTACACACCCTCCCGTTCCCTCAGGTCAGCTGATCAGTTGCTTCTGAGGGTCCCAAAGACAAAATGCAAGCTCAGAGGAGACCGTGCTTTTTCTGTGGCAGCTCCTAAGCTGTGCAATGATCTGCCTTTGAGCATAAGACAGGCCTCTTCTCTTGCTATTTTTAAGTACCTTCTTAAGACTCATCTTTTTTCCTTGGCTTTTGGCACAATTTGAGAGGTTTCACTTTGTTTTATTCTGTTTGTATACTAATATGTATTTTATACTCGATCTTTTCTATTTTATAGTTGCATTGTATTTTATGATTCTGTACAGCACTTTGGTGCTGTCTGGTGCATAAAGTGCTTCATAAATAAAGTTGGTATGGTATGGTATGGTATGCTACATTAGGTTGATCTATTCCTTAAAATCCGAATAAAGCACTGGTAATATGCAGTTCAAACAATAAAACACATATGGAGATTATTATTAAACATATTCTTTCAATATTTAACATTCTAGTGCAATGCACTCTGCAGTCCTAATCTTTTTTTGTTTCATAAATATAACTAGAATATCTGACTTACGTTAAAAGAACAACGATGGAAGCTAACTGTTTGCAGACCTCCATCTTATCACTCTTTCTCTTTCTTGCTGCTGCAGGCGGATGACATTAGAGCGCTGCTGATTGACGCCATGCCACCAGATGCCCTGCCGAGCTGTTTGAAACCGCAGGCCACCGTGGTGAGTTCCCGTCCACAGAGTTTTAAGTGAGAGCTTGCACATAAAGGCACATAAAGCAGGCAGGTCTCAGCACAAACGGCGCTCTTTAGGAGCTGAAGCACGGCACTAGAGAAGCAGAAGAGCATGACATCTGAGAAGATTCAAGTTTGAACTCTAAAGACGGTTTAGTTGGGAGTAAAGGATGTAAATTAAAACTAGTCGGACGTGTGCAGTAAGCAGAAGTGTATGAGATGAAAGCAGCAGAGCCGTCAGAGTTCTTATTCCTCCTGCCATCAGTCAAATCATCAGCTCAGCTGCAGGAGATGAAAGCTGCAGAAACTTCAGCGGCAGTTTTGAAGTACTGGAAGCATGCATCCAATGAAATGATCAAATCTTCCTCCTTTACTCATGCAGGTGAGCGCAGGTGTGGTGAGTTCGGGTGCAACAGGAGGTGTGGTCATCTCTCCGTCTCCATCTCCTTCCTGCCTGTCGGCGGCGAGCAGCATCGATAACCTCACCGCACCTCTCGGGGATATCGCAGCGGCCGGTGCCACTGGCGTCGCAGACGGAGCGTCTGGCTCTGACAGGAAGGAGGGAGAATGTATGTAAAAAAGCAGCGGTGGAAAGTTCTACCTTGAAAAATAATTGCTTTAAAGCTTAAAGTAGGTTAAACAAAAAAATTAGTTTTTTTAATGAGCCCTAGATCAAAATGATTTATCCATTTCAGACTTTTGAAGTGCTGAAATAATAATGATTATTATCATGTTGATTGTAATTGTATCATCTGTAAGTCATAATATTGCTTCTCAGGTTTGTATTTATTACCTGAATGAATGAAATATATTGATGGAATAAGAAGAGAAAAAAAATATATAATAAGAACAAAAAGGAAAAAAAAGAAAAAACTAATCTTCTAATAGTATTATCTGTGAGGAAAAGATTTAAAACATTAATTCCTACGTAACAGTCATTATAATAGTAATGGTGATGATTACTAAATGCAGATCTACAGGATTTAAATGTAGTTTAAGTTTGATTTGTTCATGTTTGAGATGCAGGAAAACATTGGCATACAATTGGTTCCTGTTTCAAGGATCCCTGAGGCTCTTTTCTTGATCTTCCTGATCTGAAATAAATCTTCCTTTGGGATTTTTCCAACTCCGACTTTCTGCTCTACATAAATTATCATTAAAGCTTTCATCTTTTAATGTGGGATTTTAGCCTCTGGTCAGCCTACTGATGTCTTTGCCTCTGCAGCGCTCCTCGACATGACCATCAACCAGTTCTTGAAGAGCCTGGGCCTGGAACACCTCCGAGACATCTTCCAGAGAGAGCAGGTAACCCGGAAAAGATCCTCATTCCTTTCTTGGTTCAGAACCAGATATTTCAGGATTTTTTTGGCTCAGTCATATATTCTGCTCCAATTGTTTGCTTCCATTTCATATTTCTCATATTTGTTGGTGATACAGGGACTTAATCTCCCCTCAGAAATAAAAAAATAAATATTTCAAATCACTCAATCACTTGTGTTTCCTGTCATTTAAACATTTTAATTGGTTTTTCTGCATTTATTTACTATGGTTTGTTTTTATAGGCATGTGTCTGCCAACCTCATGGTGTTCCTTTCTGCCACATCTGCAGTGTGTTTTAGCATTAACTGGATAAAAAAAAAAATATATAGATGGCCCAAAAAAGGCGGGGGGGACAGATGGTAAGAGGGAAAGAGGAGAAAATGAACAGGAGGAGAGGAAAACAGACATTTTCAACAGAAAAAAAAAACAGTTTGACAGTTAATAGATTCTCTGCAAATGTACGTAGGATGTGCTGATTTATTCCTGTTATCAGGCAGGAACTATCTCCAATCTGATCTGCCTGAACAAACTTGCAGAGCAGGAAGAGAAATTCCCAGTTATTTATTTGCATATCAGTTGTGTGATTACTGCCAACCACTCGGTGACCTTTTCTTCCTGCCTCCCTTCCTTATCATGAATATTTGTCAGGCCTATTTCCACTCTAATACGTCACAAACCTCTCTAACTGTCATTATTAATGAGCTTTGGTTATTTATGATCAGCCTCAAATGATGTGTATGCATGCATTTGTCAAATGTGCAGCTACTGTGTGGAGGGTAGTCTCCGTCAAGTAGTACGGGCAGAACTGACGAGGTTTGTTCACTGTCTCCGGGCAGATTTCGTTGGATGTTTTGGCAGACATGGGCCACGAGGAGCTGAAGGAGATCGGCATAAATGCTTACGGTCACAGACACAAGCTCATTAAGGGCATCGAGCGGCTCCTGGGAGGCCAGCAGGGTCGGTAAAATTCACCACACACTAATAATGCTTAATTACTTGTTTTATGAGCAGATGTTCCTGCTAAATGTGGGAACTTTGATGAATGTCACCATTATCTGAATCTTAAAGTCACAGTTTGTGGTGAAAGTTAAACTATTTACTTCTTTATAGATGTATGATTATTTATTTTATCTGTCTGTCCATCCAACTAACTATCCATTCATCCATCCATCCATCCATCCACCCATCCATTTAGACATCCATCCAACCTCCCATCCACCCATCCATTTAAACATCATCCATCCATCTAACCATCCACCCATCCATCCATTGAAACATCATCCATCCATTTAAACATCCATCCATCCATCCAACCTCCCATCAATCCATCCATCCATCCATCCATCCAACCTCCCATCCATCCATCCATCCAACCACCCACCCATCTATCATCCACCATCATCCATCCATCCACCCATCCATCCATCCGCCCAACCTTCCATCCAACCTTCCATCCACCCATCCATCCATCCATCCAACCTCCCATCCAACCACCCACCCATCTATCATCCACCCATCATCCATCCAACCATCCATCAAACAAACCATCCTTCCATCCATCTATCCATCCAACCACCCATCCACCCTTCATCCATCCAACCACCCATCCACCCATCATCCAACCAACCATCCATCAAACAAACCATCCATCCATCCAACCATTCATCCATTCAACCATCCAACCATCCATCAAACAAACCATCCAACCATCCACCCATCCATCCATCCAACCTTTCATCAAACCATCCATCCATTCATCAGTGTGTGAGTTTGTGTGTGAATGGGTGAATGAATGTAATGTAAAACGCTTTGGTCAAGTCTCCTGACTTGAAAAAAGGCGCTATATAAGTACAGGCCATTTACCATTTACCATCCATCCAACCACCCATCCATCGAAACTGCCATCCAACCACCTATCCATCTAACCATTCAACCAACCATCCATCCATCGATCAAACCATCTTTTTAAAAATGTCTTCATCATTCTACCATAATGTTTCACCCATGGAGTCACATTTTCTTTGTTTTGTTTTATTTCATTGATGTGCAGAGGTTCTGCTTGTTTTCAGGTACCCGGTTATTTAGCGTATATAGCTTTAACAGTGGGATTGTTTTAGGCTGCTGGTTAGACATCTTGGTTTATCCTCGCTGTGACATTCTAGAAACGAGGCTAACCAGCCGTGCATGTTTGAGGAGTGTCTAACATTTGTTTAATTATCATAACCTTTGATGTACAGCATCTTACACAGCATGATCCTGCAACTAGGGCTGAAACAATTAATTGGATTAATCGTGATTAATCGATTTATTGAAATAATCATCAACTAATTTAGTAATAGTTAACTGGAGTATACAGACTCCAAAACATGCCTTTAGCTGACAGAGAAACCTACTTAGAGCAGTAATTATATCAAAAGATTAAAATCTATAAATACTTTGGATTTCAGATAAAAAACCTTTACCATATAATATGCTCTACCCAGAACTCCTCAAGTGGAAAAGTTTTAGTCTTACCTGGTTTAATTTCCTTTTTGAAGGAACTTTTTGCTATCCCTTACTAATGGATTACTTGGAAAAAATAGTCGACATTAATGGTTTGCAAAATAATTTGTCTTTTTTCAGGATAGCTTTCTTGTCTTTACTTTACTGGAGTTTTTTTGTTACAAAAATGTGTTTAACCTTGAAGAACTCTGTTGCCATCATTGTCAAAACCTGTATAGCAGTTAGCTTAGTTCTTTTAGATAACCACCATCCTAAAATGTTTTGTTTGCCATGATACAAGCAGCCATGCAGGCGGTTTGTTTTTAGTATTTTTAGGCTCCGTAAACCCCTGCTTCAACATAATGACCTGTAATTTGTTTAAATACACACAGTTTTTTTTTAAGGCGTCTTGTATATCATTTTGGATTCATATCAGTGTAAGAAGAAAAGTGAATTTGTGTTTCAGATCTGAAATTTGATTTGTAAAGATTTCCCAATTTCAAGCTTCTGTAGCTGTAATGGAAGAACCGGTTTAAAGGGTTTATGTCTACGACTGCCTGTGAAAAATTTGAGAATCTTGCCCAAATTTGTATCTACTCTGTAGTTGCATGCCCAGACTCGTGCTCCGTGTGCCATTTGAGTTGTAATTGGGTTTTCAACTCTGTGCACGCAGGTGGAAATCCATACCTGACGTTCCACTGCTCCAGTCAGGGCACAGTGCTGATCGACCTGGCAACGGATGACAAGGAGTTCCAGTCTGTGGAGGAGGAGGTGAGAACCTCCTCATACGAATCTTTTTATGGTTTGACAGAAAGTATGGGTGTGCATTTAGTTTTACCTCAGAAAACATGTCAGTAATTAGGCAAGAAATACAAAGCAATGTCATGATTGAGCTGTTTTTTTCCTGTGTAGCCTTTTCGCTGCTTTAAATGAGAAGAATTGATTGCAGGAGACAGCAGATATCAGTGTAAATGGGCCTAAATTAATGAGAAGTGACAGATGTTAACAGAAATTTCACAGGTGATATTAGAGGTAGGATTACTGTCAGTCTAGTATGTGATCTGCTTGCTACAGCTCCGTCTCCGCAGACTCTTTCTTTAGTTTTTCGCGGCATATTTCTTACATTCCTGCTTAGGCTTCACCTTTTCAGCTGAATTCCTTTAAATTTCCCCAGGGTCCCATCCAGGTATTTGAGTTAATGAGTTACTGCTCCACTTCTGCAGTAAATATATGGATTCTGTAACAGCTGAGATGGCAGATAAGAAGCACATTTCCCACGCGCTTTGTTCTCGTTTTTAATGCGCCTGGCTTGTTCGTATCGCCCTTAGCTGCAGAGCACGATCAGAGAGCACCGCGACGGAGGCAACGCAGGCGGAGTCTTCAGCCGGTACAACATCATTAAGGTGCAGTTTGAAAACACACTCAGACTCAGGCTCTGAACATAGTGGAAAGACACATTATCAATCCTGTTAAAGCTGTAAACTTGGGATTCAATTCTATTTTAAATTTTACAAACTTTCTGCTGAGTTTGTCTGCTAATCGGCTTCCTGTTTCTCCTCTGAGTGCAGATTCAAAAGGTTGTGAATAAGAAGCTGCGAGAGAGATACGCCCACAGGCAGAAGGAGATAGCTGACGAGAATCACAACCACCACAACGAGCGAATGTTGTTTCATGGTAATTTGCTCCGAAAGGATTTCCTTTCAACTTTACATTATTTTTATCTAAATACATTTGTCTTATGTTTTTCATGGGATTTTTTTTTGTTATAAAGACAAATATTTTCCAAAGTTACTTTAAGAAAACAAATATAGAATAGAGTAGAATAGAAAATTACTTTATTGTCCGACAATGGGGAAATTGTGGTGTTACAGCAGCAAAAAGTTGTAGTAGAAGTGGTCACAAATATAGATATATAGATATAAAAAAAAAAATTTGATTTTATATAGATTAAATAATTTTTGTAGGTATTTATTTTTATGTTTTTTTGTTCTCCATAATAAATCCCATATGCTATTGTTTATTTATACGTCTTGCAATTATTTAATAAATTGTTGCATTAGTTCAAAATGTATGTCTTATATTGTATATCATTTTATATCTGTTTTCTGTTAAAAAAATAAAAGGAAAATGTAAATAAATAGATTAATTAAAATTTATTTTTCAAAGCCATTTTAAAGGAAATCTTTTTTTTGTACATTTTTGCTAAAGAATTGGCTTGTTTCAGCTCACTTTTTTGTTTATATCTATTTAACGTAAGTCAATCCAAAAATGCAAGGTGGTTTTATTTGGCTTTATAACAGTTAGGAAAATGTATATGCTTTTATAATAACTGTTTTAATGTTTTTTGTCTGTGAAGCAGAATTATATCACATAAAGACATGTTAAGATCAAAGAATGTTTCACTATGTAGGGATAAAAGCAAGAAACTGAAAAAAACATTAAATCAACTAGACCCCAGGTTACCTGCAGGTTTTTAGAGACTTTTTCCTGTTTGACTGAAATAAGTCGCTGCTCAGCCAAAGTTCAGCCATTTGTGCTCCGGAAGATTAACTTTGTACTTCGACGTTTTCATTCTTCCAGCTTGACTGTAAGCTTGAGTGGATCTCATTTATCATCCTTCCTCTCTCCACCACACAGCTTAGTCGGGACGCCGCCTCACGTCTGCTGCAGAGTTTAGTTTCTTTAAGAAAAATGGCAAACTGGAGAGCTGGAAATCCTAGGAAAAAATCTGCCTTCTCTGATGCCTGAAATGGCCTGTCAAGCTCCAGTGATCTTAGATCTTTCTCACATTGTAGATTTCCCAAGATTACCCTCCCACAGCATCTCCTGATGCTCTGTGTCTTTCATATTTGGAGCTTTGTGATCAAAGATAAAGTTTGTCGGATCTTTTTCTGAGGTATTGAGAAACTCTTATTGAAGTTAAAGGTGGATTTTGATGAAGTAGACAATTGGTTTAAACAGGTTTGCTTGGGATGCTTTTTATAAAGGGTCCATAAGAGGTTAAACAGGAGGGATTTATTAATTCATTGGTGCTCTTTCTGACTTCATCAGGTTCTCCTTTCATCAATGCAATCATCCATAAGGGCTTTGACGAGCGACATGCCTACATTGGCGGCATGTTCGGGGCAGGAATCTATTTCGCAGAGAACTCGTCCAAAAGCAACCAGTATGTGTACGGGATTGGTGGAGGGACGGGGTGTCCTACTCACAAAGACCGCTCCTGCTACGTGTGTCACAGGTCAGCCCTGCCTCAGCCTTTCAACTCTCATTCTCCATTCATTGCTAAATGAGTTTCTGTTTGCTGACTGTTTTGTTCTAAATCTCTCTGCAGGCAGATGCTTTTCTGCCGTGTGACGCTGGGTAAGTCCTTTCTTCAGTTCAGCGCCATGAAAATGGCCCACGCCCCGCCTGGGCACCACTCGGTCATAGGGCGACCCAGCGTCAATGGGCTGGCATACGCAGAATATGTTATCTACAGAGGGGAGCAGGTCAGTGGGAACATAGTCAATCATACGCACATTTGTAAATTTCAAACTGAAATATTATTTCATTTAAATATGATGTAAAAGGTTTAGGTTTTATGTCCAAATCTGGATTACAGTGCTCTTTGCAATAAGTTACATAGTTTGGGAAAAAAAACAACAAACGAGGCAGATCATAATCTAAAAGTGATTGTAGTTCTAAACTTTAATTTGACCAAAAAAGTATTTTTATGAGGAGGAAGAAACTTGAGCTAGAGCCCTGCACTGCCGCGGGACTCCCGCGGGACTCGCGGGCCCCAACGCAAAGCCGTACGGCGCGGGACAAATATTGAAAGCTCATTACGGTTGCGGGCGGAAGGGAGAGCGCACAGTGCGGGTGCGGGCGGGAGCTGTTATAAGCGGGAGTCCCGCAAACTAAAAACATGTTTTAAAATTTAAAATAAAGTCCTAAATGATCATTTGATGTATATAATATATATATATTCATCACAATGTGCTGGGTGGGGCTCCATCATACGGTGTTTAAAATGATCAATTATAACTTATTATATTTTTATTTCATACGTGAACATGATGATGTGTTGCATATAAGATTATGCACAATATATTATTCTTAATATCCTCAGTAGATTTTGGTAGGTTAGTTGGGTATTGCTGTGAAGCAGCAGCTCGTGCCACCTAACGCGCATCATGCACTATGCGGTAAAGAATCGGCCAGTAATGTCCTCAGCTAAGCACAGCGTGTTCAATTCCTTAAACTAATGACACGAATTGCCTTGAGCAGTAAGCGAACGTCGGAATCATGCGGGAATTGCGGGCGGGAGCGGGACAAACTATTACAGTTGCGGGCGGGAGCTGGACTGAAAATCAATATTCTTTGCGAGAGCCGGACTGAACACTGCGGGAGCGTGCGGGCGCAAGACTGTAAAATCTGTTCCGCGCAGGCCTCTAACCTGAGCCAATTTCTGTCAGTTTTTAGTGAACTCTTCTCTAACAAATCAGCTGTAGTTCCAACACTGACCTCTAGGTGGAGCTGGAAGTAGAAGCATAAATCCTAATGTTTTAAAAACAATTTTGTAGATGTTACGAGTATTATTAACTTTAGTTTTTACTCAAATAAAAGTGTTAAAGTACTCTTTTAAAAAGTACTTAAAGTATAAAAGTATAAGTAATCAAGGACAAATTTTAAAGAAGCCTTATACTGGTTACTGCACTACCCTGTTATAGGAAATTGTTTTTTTTATTTTGGATGATAATTTCCTTACACTTAATGTTTTTGTGTTTATAACTAATGGTAAAAGTGAAAGAAATTGTCTGGATGGAAAAAAATAATTTTGATGTTTTTTTTTGTGTGTGTTTTTAAATACTAACAAGCCATAATGAAACTGAGCTCAAATGAAACAAAACTAATGAGTCTATTTTTAAACTGTAAGGAGTAAAAAGTAGAGACATTAAAAAAGAAAATATAAGGAACAGAAAATCATTAAACTATAGTTAGTCAAAAGATCTACTTAAGTAAGGTAACAAAGTATTTGTACTTCTTTACTTGACACCTCTGAAATACGCAGCTATTCAACAGTTTACTGTAGAGCAGAGTGGATCCTTCAGGCAGAAAGTGAGTTGATCTGCAGACTATGGATCTAATTTTCTCAGATTTTATGGAATATAAATTATTTCAGTTCATAGTTAATCTACAGGGAAAATAGATGTGATTATTGAATTAAAAGCATATCTGACAAAGTATTTGAACGCCCTTCCCCTTGAAAGATCCAAAGAAAAAAAGGTAATTTAATAATGAAACTGATTTTTTTCATATTTAAAGCCACTAAGTTAACTTCTTTAGCTCAATGATGCAATCCTGATGTGATCTGAGTCCAGCCGTGCAGTCGCTCCATGCTAAAACGCTTCCGTTGGAATACGGTGTACCCTTTATGGTGGAAATGCTGCAATGCTGCCTTTGTCACAAAGAAAAAAGTTTCCTCATGATAAACCATTTCTGGGACTCATTGAATAAATTAAATCTAATTAAATGTTGGATTTCTCTAAAAAAAAAAAAAATCTCTGATACATTGTGCTTCTGCAGATTATTTCAGATTTGAAATCAGATTTTTGTTTTAAATATGTAAGCTGTGAAATAATGTCACACCATAAAAACTGCTCATATTTGAGATTTCTACTTCTATGAAGGTGTTTCTACTTTGTTGTAATTAAATAACTATAGCTTTTTATCTTTGTTCCTCAGGCTTATCCAGAATACTTGATCACCTATCAGATTATGAAACCAGAGAGTCTGGCTGTGCCTGCTGCCACTGCAGAGCAGAAATCCTAAGAGACCACCGGAGCTGGATGTGATGAAGACCAGAACAACTTACTGAACAGACGAGAAGTCCAGAAGGGGAAATCAGTTCATCCTGTTGGAGCTGAGTCTGCGGTGGCTGTATTGTAGTGTTCCCTGAAACATGCTAAAATGTGCTAGAAAAGCAGGTTGAGTCGGGCTTTGAGGCTCTGATGTTCAGTCCAGAGTGAACAGACAGCAGAAATCCATCCTTATCTACACTGATTCTGAGAAGGAAAGCAGATTGTTCAGCTGTTTAACAGCTCAGTCACATCCAAACAGGCTTTACTGCATTGGTACCTGTGTGCTGCTTATCCTCACGTATTAATGGTTTGTTTTGATAACAAATCCTCCTTTTCCATTTTATATCACTCACGAGAAATTTAGCAATAGTCATGCTGAGGGAAAAGAAATTCAGAGCACTTAATCATACATTTCCACCCAGTCGGACAGAACAAGGCAGATGAAGACAGCGTGAAATGGATCTAAGGAGAAATAAGAGAGCGCCATAAAAATCTGATACTCCAGAGCCGGAAACAAAACAAAGCCCAACGGGACACAGTCGGACCACAATCAACTGCTTCAGACGTTTTGCTATAGTCTGTTAAAGGGACCAGCTTTGTTTTGCACCACGCTGTTGGAATAAATCGGCTCATTTCAGTAGCAGGCAGGAAACATTAAAGCAGAAATATGGATGCCAGAAGTAAAGATAATACATTCAGTGGTTTAGAGATGTATCCATAGCCACGGAGCTTTTCCCCATTTTATCTCATTAAAACCACAACTTTCAATGTGTTCAATTAGGATCCGACGTTATAGACAGACACAAAGTCATAATATTCAAGGGAAAGTAAAATTTTTTCTTGGTACTTGTCCTATTTGTTTACTTATGTCTTGTAATAAACGCAGAGGCCTTCAAACAGAAATCCAAAAATCACACCAAGGCTTTCCCCGAATGGGCGACTCATGAAGGTGTCTGTCTGCGCTGTTGGTTACAAAATGAATGGCACACTTTTACTTTTATTTTGTCTCTAAAAATAACTTACAGGGTTCTCATGAAACACATGCAGAATTATAGCTGTTATGTAAAAAAAAAGCTCCTGGAATGTTTTTTATGGGTTTTAGTCCTGTAGAGTTAATGCTTTTCATTTAAAATCCTGAATAATTTCAGAGATTAGGATGTTTTTGAGGTGATGAGTGCTAATCCAACCTATATTTAGTCGTTCCTCACTTTTCTCATAAAAAAACATAACAAATTCCTCTTTAAATCGCAATAAAATACTAAAAAAATGCTTAGTGTTGTAAAACATTAAAATACCTAATGGTGCCTATCCAGGCATTAACTCATATTTGCACATAAACACAGACAGTTTGTTTGGCATCAATTAAAGACACTATTGTGAGGAATGGAAAAACATTTCTGTTTATTTGCTTTAACACTGGCAATGCATTTGAGTTGCAGCCTCCTTCACATATGTGCTTATACTTTAAAGAGTAACACTACACCCAGTGTGTGATGTCAGATACCAAAAGTCCAGAGGGTAAATCTTTAATTGAAAATAAAAAAAAATAAATTTGTTTTTTTGGGCTGTTTGGGACGTATAATGATAAGTAATTGAATGTACGGGATTTAAAAGTTGAAGACAAAAGGTGCCTCTCCTTAGTTACACATCTACATTCACATGTGAAGCTAGTTTCTTTAAAAAAATAAATAAATAAATACTGTATCATGTAATGTTTCTGAGATGTTTGAAAGGTGTGTTTGTTTACATGAACCTGCTGCCTTTTAGGCCCTTTCCTCTCTGGCTGTTATCTGTTGCCGCCCCCTAGTGGCTTAACAGTGTAACCGCCTGCTTGTGCTAATGAGTGAAAGGGTTTCCTTTTATTTCAGCTGTATAATTCAGGAGGGCATTAAAGAAGAGCTGATGGATAGTTGTAAATATTAAGGTTTTTTTCACCACATTTCACTGAGCCATTCAGGTCACAGACTGAACAGATCTATGCTGTTTATTTATGCTACATGTTCTCAGTTGGATAAAACAGAGGTTAACACATGCTGTCTAGAAACAAAAGTTTTCCTGTTTTATAACACATTATATACATTCTATTTCTTTTTTTATATTGCTGACCACATTCTCCTGTTGATTATTGGGTAGTTACTAATAATCCCACCCTGCGTCAGATGGGACCATATTAATCCAGATGTCACGGAGTTTCATTCTTCTGATATTTTCTGATATTCTTCTGTTTATTTTCTACATAGTTTGGAGAAAAATGTATTAAGAATTTTTATTTTCAGATTCGATTTCTGACCCATCCTTCCTATGGTCTTTCCTTACTTCCTCCATCTCTTTTCTTTCTTAATTTTCTCCTTCAACTCACTGTATTTCCCAGGTTTTCACCACTATATAATTATCAGTCTTGCATTCATTGTTAGCAATGTTATTCTCTATTTTTAAAATTAACAATTAAGTTTTCAAAGTCTGAAAATCCTAATCTGGAACAGTCTGGATTTTAATCTGCAGGAACCCTGTAATGTATGTTTCGCTAAACTTGAAAAAGCGACGGCTGGTTTCCCTCTTTACTACATCTTTTTTTTTTTTTTTTTTTTTTATGAGCCAAAAATCTTACTTGCTCTAATGAGATACACATCTTTTTTTTTCTGATGTTTATGCAGTTTAGAAATATAAGTTTTCCACTCAGCATTTAGTCCTCCTGGTTTTGGAGAATTGAAACTGTTCTCCTTAACAGAAATTAAGTGAGCAATGAGACCGTTTGACAAACTCAATTCATTACAGAAAATAGCAGAAAGTTAATGAACCACTGGACGGAATAAATTACTGATGGAGAAAATGGGAAAAACTGATAAGCATGAAATTAGGTTGGCATGGAAACGCCCATTTGATGATGTAGAACACAGTTCAAATTGAAAAGAAAAAGTACTTTTGATCATGTTATGTAACAAATCTGTTGTGTGATATGTAAAATGTTTTTGGCTCAAGCAACAAAAAAAGACATTAACATAATTAATTGAATTACTGTTTTTTAAATATTAAAAAAAGCCAGATTGGCGTTTTAATGGATGATTTTTCTGTAAAAACAGTTTTATTGACTCATTTGTTCGGTTAAACTAGTGTCTCTTGCTGGTCTTGTCTCATTGGTCAGACATGTTTTTGTGTACATACTGGAGGGACTGTGTCTGTGTTTGTAAAATAAATCCACGCTCGTTTTCTGACTGCCCAAAGCAGCAGACGGACTAACATGTTTCCTCATCCATTATCTTCGACCTGCTGTTGTACAGATGGTTGTACAGACCTTAAGTGAAACAGAAAAGCTCCTGTACAGAAGAAAATGACTTAATAAAAAAATATTTTAACTCTTTGTTTGTTTGGTTCTTGTCTGTTTAAATACCGTATTTTCACGACTATAAGGCGCACTTAAACGTCTTTTTTTCCCTCAAAATGTGCGGTGCGCCCTTTGGTGCGGTGTGCCCTATGTGTGTTGTAACTGCGACTTTTGAGACCACCTCATTGAGGAGATGATGAAAGAGTGGCTGAATGTAAGGAGACCAGGTGTTTTTTTCCACTCATCACCATCGCTGTTAATATGTAACTCCATGCGTGCCCATCTCACAGCTGATGTGAAAAACATGGGGAAACAAATTAACCCTGTGCTTGCTGTTCAACCGCTGGACATCCGGACCCAGCAGGTGCAGCAGAAGCAGCGAGTTTACATGCAAAGTCAATGGTTGACGCGCGTATAGGTGCAGCAAAAGGTCCCGCAGCGCGTTTTGAGCTGCACGTGCAGCGCGTCGGGAGCGCGCCGCCAACGCGCTGCTGCTGCTAGAGATGGAAAAATTGAAGTTTTGCTGCTGGACGCGCCGCATCAACCAATCAGAGAAGCTGATCTGGGAGCTGACAGCGAGACAGACACAGCGCTCTGATGATATTAACGCAAATGAAACGGGCTGGGGAGATGATGAAAGGCAGGTGTATGTGAGGAGACCAGGTGCTTTTTTCCACGCATCACCATCGCTGCGTGCCCATCTCACAGCCGATGTGGAAAAAAAAGATGAATCAAATGAACGCTGTGCTCGCCGTTATCCCGGGGGTCTGACAAAGGAGCTTCCACCGCTCGACATCGGTGTGAAGCGGCCGTTCAAAGTAAGGCTGTGAGCGGCGTGGGAGCGATGGATGACAGACGGAGACCACAGTTTCAGGATAAGTGGAAGGCAGCGCCGGGCAAGTTACGCCACCGTTTGCGGATGGATTGTTGATGCTTGGACTAAAGTGTCTGCTGGCTCTATTGTTCAAGCTTTCGCAAAAGCCGGCATTATTTCTGAGGAGCTGCGCTGCACGGAAAGTGACTGACAGCGAAGAATGGGAAATTGGCATGTCTGATTTAGCGCAGCTGTTTAATTCAGAAACAGAGGATGATGACTTTGATGGGTTTGATTAATACTTTGTAATAACTACATGAATAAAGCACAAACATACTCAGTTTTGCTCCCGCTCTATTTTTCTACCTGAAAACTTAATTCAACCGCAGCATCTGGGCGCGTCTCCTCTTCAGCGCGGTGGCTGGCAGGTGTTTTTTCATCTAAATAATCTAAATCTTGCAGCTATATTTGCTGTGATCAGTGGGAATAAAGTAGTTTTAATATGTTTTTAAGTGAGAAAGGCCACCTGAAAACTTAATTGCAGTCAGTTCATCCAGATTATCTATTTCTGTCGGAGGCGCTCAGACCCCCACATACCAGCGGTGCACCGACAGTAAATCCCTTCAACAGCAGCCTCACACGGCGGCTGGCAGGTGTTTTTCATCTAAATAATTTACAGTGCAGGCACCAGGATACCGGCAATAAAAGCGAACATATTCCGTCGGCAGGTTTCAGGATTTTAAGTTAATTTAGGAGTAATCACAGCGCTGTGTCATCTGCGATGTGTCTGTCTCATGGCCAGCACGCAGGTTTGATTAATTTGTAATAAATACATGAATAAAGCACAGTCATACTCAGTTTTGGGCCCGCTGTATTTTTAAAATACGCAGTAGAGCTATTTAAAGGTAGTAGAGGACATGAATGTGTATATAAAAAATGCGCCCTATAGTCCGGTGCCCTTATGTGTGTGTTAAATACAGAAATGGGACACATAACTGAGACTGTGCCTTTTAGTACGGTGCGCCTTATGGTCGTGAAAATACGGTACCTAAGAATAGCAACTTTTTAAATAACTATATATATTAGGGCTACAGCTATTGATTATTTTAGTAAATAATATAAAAAAGCTTTTTTTTCCAATTAATCTAAAAAAAACGATAATTTTAGTAAAATAATATTTCTGAATATACAAATATTTGGAACACAGAAAACGATTTTAAATAAATTGCTGATGCAGAGATTTCCATTTTGGTTAATCATGTTTTAGAGTCTGTGTATAATAGCTCTAGGTCAGTGGGTTTCTAAAGGGGGAGGGGGGGACGTGAAACACCAACTGGGAGATTTTAAGAATCACTGACGTTATCCCTAAGGTATACAGAATGCCCCATGAAATATAAAGATGTCATATTTATTTTTTTGCTAAAATATTCAATATACCATCAAATTTTTAAATGCCCAATAAAATCAGGTGTTCCCAAATATTTAAGCCTTTGAACCCAAAAATAATGATGCAACAGACTGGTGTCGCTCTAAAAGTACATGTTAATAGTATGTTATTGGAATAAATAAATGTTACATCGATTTATTTCATGGAATTTAACGCTTAGTTTCCACTTTTTTATGGTACATTTGCATAATTTATGGAACATTTCTTATATGTCAGGGATCAGATCACAGTGATTGCAGAAAAATCATACTGTGACCCCTGCAGGCGGCCCCAACCCCCAAATTTAAGGAACCCCTAAATTTCATGACCCTAATCTGGGAAACGATTCCATTAACAAATTAGTTGGATGTTATTTCAAAAATTTAAATACTGTCAGGAAAATATTGAACTGTTGAAACACTAATCTAGACTCTGCATCACACTTGAAAACACAACATTTGCACTACCAAGGTAGGTTTTTTTTTATTTTTTATAATTCCTTGAAATAGAAAACAGCTCAAAGTTCTACTGGATTTTGTACCATATTTATTATTTATTTTGCACTGCACTGAACCTTTCCATATAAATTCCTTTTGCACCGTGACTTCAAACTGGTTTTCCGTTTATTATTAACTGTTTATATTCTGATCACTGCTCCACTTTCTAAATGAAAAATGTTCATATCACTGTTGAAAGCTGTACCCATCGAAATTTCATTTTGTATACACTGTGTAGGCAGAATGACAAAGTTTGTCTTAGTCTAAACATTAATTAGAACCACTTTCAGTTGTTTTGGAGGTTCTTTGCTGCTAAAGTTGGTAGAAGTGAATGATTTAATCCATCATTCTCTTCTTTATAAAAACATGTTAAGACCTGAAGGACAAAATGCCGTTTCCTTATCTGCAAATGAAGTTAATGGGCTGACATAAACTTTTGCTACTCTGTACTATTATTTTTAAACACCCTTTAAAAACAATGAATGTTAAACAAACATCATGGAACATACCTCTTCATTATATTAATTTAAATATTTTTGAAGTATTGTTTAGAAATATCTCAGATATTTTAGATAAATTGCTAAATTTATAAATAGATTGAAGATTGCCTAAATTTGCTAAATAAACTGATAAATTTAGATTAATTAAATTTG